GCAGTTCAAATCCATCCAGCAGCTCCACAAGGAAAGGCCATGTGATCAATTTCCTTAAAGATTACAGCCAAGAAAACCTATGGGGCTGTTCTACTTTGCCAACTATGAATTAGCATCAACTCGAGAACACCTAATAACAACAAAACTTGAAATATTGCTCAGTGGCATAAAGAATGCTGAGAGTTTAGCATTTTCCACATGGAAACGTTCAAATGTTAACTTGCTAGGTTGGTTCTATTCAGTCCCCAATGCCAGATATTTTGACTCTCCGGATACCAGCACACAAAGGAGGAATCTCCCTTCTAAGTTGTTGCTCCAAAGAGGAAACAATCATCCGTACAGGAAACTCCACCAGCAACAGTCGCCAGGAGTTCACTCAAGCTCACAGCAGGCCCACCTGTGTCAGAAGAGATTTCAGTAGACCGTTCTTCAGGGGCGTCTATGGGTAGGCTTGAACCTGCAACCTTTCAGTTAGCAGCCAGTGCATCAACACTTTCACCACCTAGGGATCCCTACAAACGAAATTACTATTGTTCCACCTGCACAGGACACACAGGTCCTTATGCATAACAGCCGCTGAGTTCACAGTTCATGGGAACAGGATTAGAGGAGGATTATTGTTAACTAATTCAATTAACCCCACCAGCCAACACACACACACACACCCCGTAGGTCATTTTATTGCTGTTACAATTAAAGAATTATTTCAGACTCTATCAACATAATATACTTTTCCTTAGGACAAAATAATTGCTCTTTAAGTGCATTTATTTCTAGAAGTTCCACAGGCATATGAAGAACTTTAAAAATTGGGGCAGCCTGCTGCTTCACCATGAAGCTGAACATCTCTTTCCCAGCCACTGGCTGTCAGAAACTCATTGAAGTGGACTATGAACGCGAACTGCACACATTTTATGAGAAGCGTATGGCCACTGAAGTTGCTGCTGGCGCTTTTGGTGATGAGTGGAAGGGCTCTGTTGTCCGGATCAGCAGTGGAAACGACAAGCAAGGTTTTCCCATGAAGCAGAGTGTTTTGCCTCATGGCAGAGCTCACCTGCTGCTGGGTGAGGGGCACTCTTGTTCCAGACCATGGAGAACTGGAGAGAGGAAGTGCGAATCTGTCCAGAGTTATATTGTGGATGCCAATCTGACTGTTCTCAACTGGGTTATTGTCAAGAAAGAGGAGAAGGAGATCCCAGGACTGACTGACACCACTGTGCCTCATTGCCGGGGCCCAAGAGAGCCAACAGAATTTGCAAACTCTTCAATATCTGCAGGGAAGTCAGTATGAGAAAGCCACTGAACAAAGAAGGCAAGAAACCCAGGACCAAAGTGCACAAGATCCAACATCTTGTTCCACGTGTCCTGCAGCACAAGCGCCGACACATTTCGCTGAAGAAACAGCACACTAAGAAGAAAAAGGAGAAGGCCGCAGAGGACGCTCAGTTTTAGGCCAAGAGAATGAAGGAGATCAAAGAAAAACGCTAAGAGACGGAGGCTGTCCTCTCTAACAGCTTCTACCTCCAAATCCAAATCCAGTAAGAAATTGAATTTTCTGTGTGGCAAAAAAATAAGCTCATGTATTAAATCTCAAGGAAAAAAAAGAACTTTAAAAATTGATCCTCAAAGTAACGCTTCTTCACAGTATGGAGTTGTCAGTGTCGTCATTTGGTGCCCTCAAGTCTTTGTTGTCCCCATGGGCTCCGGATCTTAACCCAGCTCTACCCTGCACCATCCTCAAGATCTCTTCACACCACCAACTTAGGGGGAAAAAAATGCTGTGTGACAATTACACAAAAAATGTTAGTAAAACTAATTTGCCAAAAAGAAATTAGCCAAATTCTGTCAAATTTACGAAACGCATTGGGGCATAAAAACACAGGCAGCTTAGAACTGAGCGGACCACTCACCTGGTCTCTGGTGCCACCTGCTGAAAGACCAGCCACAGTGACGGGGCCGCCTGTGTTCCCCCAGCCACAGCGTGTTGGAGGTTGAACCTTGTCCCGCCCACAGTGCATGTTCCTGAGCTTGGTCTAGAGGGTGCTTCGCTGATAATAGAACAGCTGAGTGTCTCTGCACCTGATCACGAGAGATCAGGTCCTCGAGGTAGAGGGTCTGCGAGGGAGAGCAAGATCTCCAACAAGGTGGACTGACAGTGGCTGCCACAAGGGCCTCAGAAGTGGCAAACGTCGTGAGGATGGTGCAGACTGGGCAGTGTTTCACTGTGCTGGACACAGAGCTAATCGCACCTGTGGACATTCCAAGTAGCCAAGTAGAAAGATGATTGTTTTTAAGTGTTAATAGCAATAATCTCTTTGCTCCCTGCCATCAAGCCACACAGGCCCATAGCTGACCTTCCAGCAAGTGTCCCCAGGTGGTAAATGAGACAGGAGGAGACTGCCCACCTTTCTCCTGATGCGCTGTTGAGGATTCAACCCAGAGAGGGGACACCTTTTGATTATCACCAAAACTCCCTCTAGACTAGGTCACCAGAAACCCCTATCCTAATATTTAAAAATAAACCAAAACCACGTCACACTCATTGCCATAGCTGACCCTCCAGCAAGTTCCAGAGGCTGTAAACTGCACAACAGTAAATTGCCCATCTTTCTTCCACAGAGCTGTTAGTGCATTCAAACTGTTCACCTTTGGGTTGACAGTGCAATTCTCTATCCCATTAGGCCACTTGAGCTCTTTATAGTAATGTTGTTGTTGTTGTTGTTGTTGTTGTTGTTGTTATGTGACCATCAAGTCAGGGCTTACCCGTAGCTGATCCTCCAGCAAGTTTTCAGAGGCTGGAAATCACAAGGAGAGATTTCCCATCTTTCTCCCATGGAGCAGCTGGTGGATTTGAACTGTGTACCTTTTGCACTGAAAGCGCAATTCCTTATATTACTCTCACCTGAGCTCCCTATAGTAATATTAGTTCATCATTACTCAAAAAACATGCTTTCTGTCATCAGTTACAACTTCTGAGAGGAAGAAAGAGGTTGATAGTGAACAGAGAGGAGGGGTGAAAAGGCAACACTCAAAGAAAATTACTTTTCTTTCTAGTTTCGAGTTCAGGCAAAAAGAAAAGATACTGCATCTGTTCTTCATACATGTAGATGGGAAAGGATGACAGTATTGAGAAAGAAAAAAAACACCACTTTTCAGGATCTGGATCTGAAAGGGAATGAAGCTTTCCTTTCTTAGCCAGAGATTTATTCAGATTTCCTGAGAATAGAAACCAAAATGGGTCATTGTAAGAAAAGCTAAATGAAATCTCAGAAGAAGAAAGAAAAAGAAAGTGTCTCATAAAATGTCAATTTCCTGTGTCTGAATGCAAAATATTCATCATCTTGATGTGTGTTACATCATTTACCTGCCACATCAAACTCTCTACAAGAGACTTCATTCTACGTAAGGATATTTTACCTTATCATTCTCATACTCATTTCGTTTAAATTTCTTCAGCAGAAAACCAGGTATTAGCCGTTAGCACTGTAAAATTAGTGATTAAGAAGTCCTGTATAAAAAAAAATTTAAAAAGAAGTATATAAAGGCATGCTGTTTTCATAGTCAGAAAAAAGGTACTCACGTGTTTTCCAGCTCTTGTCACTTTTCTCAGTCCCCCCAGTCAGCCCCACCTGTGTACCTTATACTTTGCCCTCTGTTTACATTGCTATGTCCTGAATTTCTGCTTTCAATGTGATCCTTTTTGATGTCTTTTCAGCTAAAAGTTCCTTTCTAGACTTCATCTTTGCTCTATCACATATCCATGCTTAACCCACTAGCCCTTGGATTATTCATGTCTTGTTTGTTTACTGCTGCCAATGCAAAGGTACGTGGTTTGAATCCATCAGCTGCTCTAATAGAGAAAGATGGGCAATCTCCCTCTCCACCACCCCCCCAACCCGTGATTTAACACCTCTGAAAACCACTAGAGGGTCACCGTGGGTCAGTTCTGGATAATGCTCCTCTGTCAGTTTGAATTTTCCTGCCTGTTGTATAAGAGAGATGGCCAATCTCCTTTCATGTGATTTACTGTCTCTGAAAACCCACTAGAGGGTCAGCTATCAGCCAGTAATGAATGAATGGCAGTGAGTGAATGCGTGTTTGGGACGCCCAGTATGCAGGTGGCAATGTGGCCTCTTTCCCCATCTTGCGTCTTAGCCTCATGGAGGGCGAGTGTTCCTGAGTAAAACTGGGAATGAGTGAAAAGCTGCTGTGTGGCTGATTTTTTGCTTTGTTCCTCAGCAGAAGAGCTAGACATCAGGGACTAACATGTACTAATTCAGAACACCCCTCACTCCTTGCCACCCGTAGAACGACGTGAAGATGCCTGTGTCCCTTGTTCCCGCCAGAGCCCCTTCCCTTGTCTCTCTCCCCTCCGTTCATGCTGTTCCCACGGTGTTGCATGTCACACGGTGTTGATGCGTCTGAACAGTGTGTAGCATTTTATCTATGAATCTCACATGTGATCTAGATAATCAGCTGTTAACACTGTCAATTCAATTAACAATAATTCTTTGGAAACCAAATGAATTCATGAAAAGCATAATGGTTCTTTTTCTCTGAATAAGATTTGTTCTTTTTATTCTCTAATACCAAAAAAAAAAAAAAAGAGAGAGAAAGAAAACTGCCATCATGAAGTTGAGTATTTTAGCCACAAGATGGCACTAGACTCTTAGGTTTCTTTAACAAGCGCACTTGCATTTCCTCATTGAGAAAATGGACATTGACTCTAATTAAAGAATTAAGGTACCCAGCTGTTTTTCATAATACTATCTTTACAGCCTTCGTTAAGACTGGAGAATTACAGTATATACTGTGAAGAATTTTTAGTTTATTTGTATATTTCTGCCAATCATTAAATTTTTCTAAATAGAAAAAGATGGATTTATGAAGAGATCTTTTGGATTTTTTTCATTTGTGTTAAAATTTTTAGTCCCAAAACTTTTATCTAATCTTGTTGTTGTTGTTATGTATCATTGAGTCTCCTGTAACCCATAGTGACCCTATGTAGAGCAGCTCTGAACCCTGCCCTGTCCTGAGCGGGTCACACACACCCCCACTGCTGCAGTCATTTATCAATCCATCTCATCCAGGGTCTTCCTCTCCTGCACTGTCCCTCCCCCCTTCTGAGCATGATGTCCTTCTCCAAGGACCAGGTCCTCCCTGGCCACATACCTCAATTATGTGAGACAGAGCTTCAAAATCCAAAATCCTAGCCTTCAAGGAGAAACTTGGTTTCACCCTCTCCAAGACTTTTGTCTAAATATGGGGGGTGGGGGTGGGGGGGAGTAAGTTTGGACAGATGGAATCAGGTATCCAGAGATAAGCAAAGCAAGTATTTGTGTTTTTCCATGATGACTTTTATCTCTTCCAAAAATATCCATTTAAAATAAATAATCAAATTAGAAAATGCTCAGAGCAAAGCCTTGACCAAGTTTTGCCAAGTCTTGGG